TCCTGTCGAGAGCTCAAAATCTCCGAATTAGCACGGTGTGGAAGTTTAAAAAATGGGTAGGTACCATACCTCTAGCCCCATTTTCGTCACTGGACCTTGGTTTGAAATTACGACCACAACTGTGGTTTGAAATTATGAATAAGTCCGTCGCCAACAGATTTCGTCTTTCATCGTAGTGCGATGTTAATAATAATGAATATACACTGGTGTGCAAAACTAAGCAACAATGTAAAAATTTAGCAGATAGCCATGAAATTGCAGAAAAGGAGGTCTGGAGATCAGTAGAGGGAAAACGTAAGTCAGTAGAAACGTCATGCGTATGCAAATATCAGGAACAAAACGTCAGAAGCGATGTGAGCGTACGCAAAACGCGTGATGTCGGCGCGCGCTGCTCAACAGTAGAATAAAATGAAGGACGGAGACGCAATTCAACATATTCGCTGCAAGTGCCAGTGAGTCGGTTCGTGAAATATGGCTAGAAGAAATCACCTGTACGACTTCACACGTGGAAGATTGACCCGGAAAGCTGGAGGAGGGGCGTACTGCCCACCAGTGAGCTGCAGAGTTCGGAATCAACAAAGTGTCGTTTCGCGCTTGAAAAGCGTTCCAAGCCACTGGTACAGCTGTTAGAAAGGTTGGTGGTAGCCGCCCAAGGACGATAACTGCGGATGACCGATATATCATCCTGCGGGCGAAAAGAGGTAACAGCGGGCAGCAAGCGCCATTGCTCAGAAACTCTGTACAGCAACGGGTTGACAGAGTGGTGGCCAGACGCCTTCACAAAGGGGCCTGTTCGCCCGCCGTCCTGAACCTTTTCCTCCCGTTGAAAGTTGGCCACCAAAGCCACCGTTTACAGTGGGCCAGAGAGCACAAAAACTGGACAAGTGATCAATGGGTCATGTCCTCTTTACGGATGAGAGTCGGTTCAGTACCAGAAGCGATTCTCAACACGTTTTGATTTGGAGAGATCGGGACCCGGTTTTATCCCAGTAACATCAAGGAAAAACACCGTTACTGTGGTCCTGGGTTCTTGTCTGGGGAGGCATTATGCTGAATGGGCGAACTAGCTTACATTTTTGACAGAGGGTCTGTAACCGGGGACGCTATTTTGAGGGGGGTACTTCTTCCCCATGTGCGTCTTCTCCCAGGTGCCATTGGCCCAGACTTCATTTTATGGATGACAAGCCCGCCACATCGCACTCATGCTGTTGAGGAGCTGCTGGAAAGTGAAGATATCACTCGAATGGATTGGCCAGCGTGCTCCCAGATTTAAATCCCCCTCGAACATGTGTGGGATGCTTTGGGGAAATTGCCACACGCTTACATCATCCGGAGAACAACCAACAACTCAAACAGATGTTGATTGAGGAATGGGTATTCCTACCTCAGAAATGTTGCACCAGCTGGTTCTGAGTATGCGGAGACGGTGCGAAGCAACCATTGTAGTAAGGAGGGCATATACCATATTAGGAACATCTGCTTGTTGTTCTTCCTGTTGGATAGAAATCATGAGTCACGACATTATGCGTTCAATAAAGCTTGTTTTTGTTTGATTAAATACCGTATGCGTTGTATTCCTTTTTCACCGCCGATGCTTTCGTCATCCTTTAAGTACATAATACTCTCACTCATTTCAGAACTTCATGTCTCTCAGATGATTTTTCTTGAAGTTATGGCAATAAATCCCCCTGTTGCTTAAGTTTTGCACACCAGTGTATAATTGAATATGGAGAAGATTCACCCAATGTGTTTTATAAATCAGAATGAGTTTCATTTGCTTTTATATCGTATGAAACGAATTACTTTATAGCTGCTTCGGCTCGGTGGCTTAGAGGTAGCGCGCACACTTCGTAAGCCTAAAGCTGCGAGTTCGATAGATTTTCTGGATGAGAAAATCGTAGGTACGCATGTCAGATGATTATGTGGCATGTAGAAGATCCTTTGAGTATCCTTTTGGCTCTGGTATTCTCAAGAAATTAAATCACAGCAATATTTAGCATACGATGAGAGCTTGAATTAGAATTAATTCAAGTGTCGAAGTTCGGTAGCGTGCGAGCCACCACAAGAGGGTGTCACCAGTTAATGGCTCTCACATTTGTGGACTTGTCACGTATACAAACTCTTAGTTGCCAATATATACAGAGAGTAGTGCACACAGGAATTTTTCAAGGGGGGGTCCGGGGTTGAAAGTTCACCATTCTTGTATCATGCGATTTTTGATTTTGTCGATTTTCAGGAACGAAACACAGTAAAAAACTAATTATTGAATAAATAATTAGCACTAATTAATAAAATTAATCATTAATAACAAACATTTAATTAAATTTTACGTATTATATACTTAGAATTATAATCAATCGGATAAAAATCAAGGGCTTTGGGGGTTCCGGACCCCAGGCCCCCCCCCTTGTGTGCACCACTGTATACAGCCCATTACAGAAAAAAAAACTTTATCAGTGCTCGAATCTCGGTCTTTTCCATTTTGAAAAGCTAATACACGTGTACAACAATAAAGAAGCATTCACACACCACAGCTCTTACTAAGAAAACTTATACGCCACGTGTTTATTCATGAAGGATGATTATTTACAGAACTGAACTGAACTTAGAGGCGCAAAAGCCCATGAGGGCCAAGGCCTACTGTGCCTATCTCAGTTTATGTGACTGCTTGATTGATTGATTGAATATTAACGTCGCACTGTTCAGCTACACGAGGGCTTTTGGCGACGGACCACGTAATTTTGAGCCATGGTCAAGTGACGTGGACGACACCTGAGCTGGCACCCCTCTCTCCTAACTACCACACCAACGGGAGGACATTTCAGCTCTCGACAAATTTAACGTGCATCGCTGCCCTACACGGCGGGTCTTTAGTGGTACTGGGCTCGAACTCATGACAAGGCAAGCCACGATCCGATACCTATACCACTCGACTACCGCGGCCCAGTTTATGTGACATTAGGCGACGGGGTGCTTGTGCAAATGTTTCGATCAAGTGGTCTGATGTGAAACTTCCAGCTTTCAGTTCCCAAGCAAGCTTGGTACTCATTTATCGACCCACTGAAGAAATGAAAGGCTGAGTCAACCTTGCCCAGTTCGAGATTTGAACCCCAGACCTGAGACGTGGAAGCACGATACTCTACCACTCAACCACTGGGCTTCTGGTTATTTACTACGTCGCATAAAACTAGGCTACGCATCATCTATGATGATGATACCGAGAGCTATTCAAACCACCCTCGTGTGTTTAACTTTATAATTTATACATTTATCACTAGTGTTAAATCCATACTTTCCTCAGTTAATAACTGAGATAAAATTAAGAATGCATGCCTATTATGCTTTAATTTGATAGCTTTATAAATATCCCAATTCAAAGCAATACGAGGAGTATTGGCAACGAACTTAGTAATTTTTTCGAAGATAAGTTTCTGAATATCATTCATACTTCCTTCTTCCTCATTGGCTCGAGAGCCCAGGGTGGGCCTTCTCAAGAAGCCTTCTTCTTGCTAGTGTTCTCCAATTTTTAGTTCTCAAAACTAGGAGAACTTTTTCTAGGCCATCAATCTAACTAAAATTTGGCCTGCCTCTTCTCCGTGTGCCAATTAGTTGAGCATTGAAGACTTTTTAGTGGTACGGTCTTTGTGTACATTCTGACAACGTGGCATGCCCATTTAATGCGTTGTATTTTGATGAAGTTAACAATGTCAGATTCTTTATATGAGTAATAGAGCTCAAAATTTGGTCTTCTTTGCCAAGTTCCATTTTCCTGAATTCCTCCAAAATAAATTTTAAAATCTTCCGTTCGTAGATACTTATCACGTTCCCATCTGTTCGAGACATAAACCAAGTTTCACATGCATAATTTAAAACTGATTTTAAAATACTTTTATACAATAGAACATTTGTTTGTCTTTTGATTAAATTCGATTTCATATATATTTCCGTATTCCATTAAGACACGTATTAGACATTGTAATTCTCTTTTGGACTTCAGTCGTACATTCGTATCTATTGATAATTTCCGAACCTAAATAAGTGAAACTGTCAGCAATTATATTCTTCAGTTTTAAATTGGGAATTGTTAAAAAATGATTTAGCGAGAGAAAGGCATGTATTTGGTCTTATTCTCATTGATTTTTTGTATCATTCACATTTACAGACAATATTTTACGATCGATATGAATGAATGCAAATAGAAATGTTTTCACTTAAATTTCCAAATAGAGATATTGTCATAACATAGCCTTAAACAGCATATTTACAATACTTGCTGTTTTCTCATATTATTGATTATTGATAGCTATGAGGTATATATATATTTCTTCAAAAGAAATCAAAGAAAATAACAGGAGTTGAATTTTGACTTAGAAAAAGAAATTTAGGGGGTAATTTATCTTTCTGGCATGATATCTCACTTATAAATACCGTCTCGAAAACATATTATTGCAATCTCTATGGGAACATATATAGTGTTTTATATATGATAAGAAAATCAATCGTAGACGATAAGAAGAAAATGATATATTTTCATTCCGTCTGCACGTATCATTTATTGTTGACTTATATTGCAACAGTAGAGAAAAAAATTATGGTTTTTATTTTGCATCCTGTCTCACAGAAAGAATCTTTCCTTCTTGTCACAACACTGAGTAAATACATTTAGCTCAGGGATAACAATATTTCACACAAGGGACTTTTCTTAACTTGCTGATGACCCGCCTTACTATTATGTTATTCAATTCCCTAATATTAGTTCACAATCTCCTATATATATATATATATATATATTGCTCAAATTTTCAATCGCTAATACAATACTTTTTTTATTCATCGACTCAAGTTCAAATACATTTTTTTGAAAATTTGTAGTGGATGACACTTAATGTTACAATACAGTTTTTTCAAATATTAATTCATTAATTAAATTTAATGAATGAGTTAATAGTAACAAAGATAATAGTCCAACACCATATATAAAAAGGAAAATCATTCGTTGTGTTCCTGTAGCACAATAGATAGCGATTTGGACTTCTAATCCAAAGGTCGTGGGCTCGAATCCCACCTGGGATGGCCTAATTTCCTAGAACGTGTTTTCTTTTTACTATACTATTTTATCGGAATAATTAAATTTAATTAAAGAATAAATAGTAATAATCGAAAATAATAGTTCAACACCGTATGTAGAAAGGAAAATGGAAAATTACAAAGAAAATCGATTTCTATTTTTTACCTTTAATATTGTGATATTTTGAGTCATATGTATATAGATATTTATATTAATTGTAATTATTTAATAAAAAGTAACTAAAATAAAAATTTTCTTTGTTGACCTAAGTAGGAATTTTTAATTTTTTTTTATATACTTGTTTTAACTTTACTTTGTCATACCGTAGTATTTTCTAAAAATATAGGCATGTCCACAACAAATCGCTTCTTATATCTTAAGTTTCTCTCTTGCCATATTTCCCTAAAATACATTTGAATTGAAATAATTTGAATTCCTGTGAAATGAACATGACATATGCGGAAGTAAATTTAATGCGGCAATTCATTAAACGTCTATTTCATTTTATTCATACAAAAATCTATATAAATCATTTTTATAAGCAATGCATTAAAATACGAATAATTTCAACTTATATATGATTTCCATTCTTCACAGATCATCAACCATTTACTAATATAATTTTAAAAACATTTTTGTGTTTGATAGAAACTAATCTAAGTATACCAATGCTTTGTACTGCAAATAATAATTTTTCATTGATTATTTAATTGCATAAGTTTTTATAAATGTATCTAGTTTTGTAGAAATTATCTTCGACATTATTTGATTTGTTTCAATTAAAAAATGTTATATAAGCTTATTCAATAGCAATGGCAACGAACGACATAATTTAGAGCCTGAATCAAGTACCGAATGAGCTGATGCCTCTTTCTTCTAACTTCTACAACGCATGTAGGAAGCTTAATTGAAGTCTAAGTGCGATGACTAATTTTTTGGTCAGAGACTTCGTTGATAATGTACCATCAACCTCTCAGGTTGATGGTACATCAACCTGATGAGTTCATCAACATGATCAATCATTCATCAACCTGATGAATGAGTGTGTTCATTAGTGTCGCTTTCTAAAGTAACTCGAGGACTACTGACGGACCTCGTAATTTTGAACCATGGTCAATTAACAAGGGCAACACCTGAGCATGCACCCCACTCTCCTAACTTCCTCACCCTCCCAACGTGAGGACTTTCACAATCCTGTCTACATGGTAGATTTTCAGTGGCATCAGAAGGCCGCAGTAGCTTAGTGGTCGAAGTAACGGACTCTTGGTCGGCTAGTCCTGAGTTAAAATCAAGACCCGGCGTATAGGGGGGCAATGCACGTTAAATTTGTCGATGCTGAAGCGTCCTCCCATAGGTGTGGTGTGGAAGTTAGAAAGGGGGGTTCCATCTCAGGTATCGTCCTCGTGACTTGACCAGGGTTCAAAATTACGAGGTCGTCACCAAAAACCCTCGAGTAGCTTAGTAGTGTGACGTTAATATTCACTCATTCAGCGACATCAGGAGCCATCGAATCGACAACACCGAGTCCCCAAGCTCGTGTCTATGAGCACTAGACAAAAGCCCTCTTCCTCCTTAGTCGTTCAAACAAGCTCTGTTTCCTCTGTGACATTTAAGGTAAATAACACACGGTAGCTTGATATTGATTAATTTAAACATTTAGTATATTTACTTCACAGCTATTATTTTAATATTATACATTGAAGTTATTAACCCTCCAAGCGGTCTGCACGTAAAATTCCGCCATTCCAGAGATGCTTTTTCTGCCTTCAAGCAAGATTCCCAAAAGTGGCCGAACCGCATTCTTAAAAAATACGGCTCAACCGCTTTTGAGAACCCCACCTGAAAGCAAAAAAATATGTGCGGTGCATTTTTGAAGCATCTCCAAAATGGCAAGACTTTAAGTGCAGACCGCTTAGAGGGTTAAATTTATTGAAAGATTATATTAGAGTTCCAATGATGTGGTTTGTGAGAGAGTAATTCTCTTTCGGGGCCCACTCACTTCGAAAGTTTCAAATCATCTCTGGTTCTCCCTCTCTCTTCTCTCGCTTCGGGGATCAGGGGATGGCGTTTTTTTTTGCATCCAGTTACATCCTGCTAGTGGCGGGATAAGGGTCCCTCGTGATGTCAAAAGGTTGCGGGGAGGTCCAAGGCGGGACAGCAATAACTTTCGAGATGCAGCTGCAAAATGCACGTGTGATGATTATTTCCACAAAGAAGCCGATTCACAGCTGTGTGGCGGGAATCGTTACACCTCAAAGCTGTGCTAATTGTCTCCACTAATCGGGTAAACACTATTGACAAAAATCGTTTGTCGGACTATCATTCAGGTCATTATATTTTAAAGCACCTATATAGGGTTTGCTGAATTTGACCGACAAATTCAGAGGTAGCATGGGAACGACAAATCACCATAGAACATGGGGTCGCAAACCACGCTTAGTCAGTGAAAATCGTGATAATAGTAGCCCTCAAGCGGTCGAATAACCAGACAAGGGGAGTGGCCAAACGAATATTTGATTTTTTGGGGGGCAGTGGTAAGGTAGAAGAAATTTACACGTACACGAATTCTTCACTTCTCCTGGAGTTGCTGCGGGGAGTACCAGCCACTGTACACAAGAACGTGTGGTTCAGGTATGATGGTGCACCAGCACATTTTTCAATTTCAGTGCGCTACCACTTCATCCTACATATCCTAGGGTTGGGACATTGGAAGCGGCTGTCTTGTTATTTGGCCTCCACGCTCCCCAGATCTGAATCCTGGGATTTCTCTTTTGCGGCCACCTGAAATCTCTTGTGTATGAGACGCTGGTGGCTACAGTGGAGGATGCCAAGGCACGGATCAGAGTTGCCAGCACACAGAGTTGCCAGCAGATCATTGCCAGCACACTGGATTTGTTTGAACACGTCCGACGATCTTTCATCCGTCGGTGTTGGCTATGCTATAACCTACGCGGCCGCAACCTCTAACAGTTTCCTTGACAATCCCTTGACATTTCTGACGTTGAGCTGTGTTGCATTGTTCGTATTGTAAACATGTTTTGTTTCTAATAAATGTATTCTATACCCCTTATTGCCTACTCCACTCGACATCATACACTTCATAACTTTTTACGAATTACTCCGACCAAACAATGTTTGTGTACCCATGTTCTATGGTGATTTATCGCCCCCATGCTGCCTACAGTCATCTTTTTGGATTTGTCGGTCGAATTCGGCAACAACCTGTATTTTTAATGTAATTTAATTTATAATTCATAAGAAAACATATTCCTGTATATTAAAATGTTATGGTAAAAGAAAGTATAAATGTTGCAGGGGCTGCAAAACTCATTAATGTCGTTATGTTTATCTCATTAATGTAGTTTTTATCGATTATTTATCCCTTGTCATATGTTGTTGTTGCCGTATGTTTTTTATCCTGGAATAAATATGAAATACAAGTGGAAGAACAAAGATATACAATACAAACAGAAGAATATACACATTTATTACAGACGATGATCCCAGTATATAACAAGAAGTGCACTGCTTTCCATTCGAGACGGTAATCCATTACAGGCTAAAGTCCGACTTCTTTTCACGAAGAAAATACAACCATGCCTTAGTCGGGATTCGAACCCACTCGGTTACAAGCCCAGGGTCATATCCGCCTTACTGGTTGGGAGGCATCTCTTGTCATATTAAGTACCTCTTTGTCTTAATGTATTTTAATTCTAGGATATAATAAATATATTCTAAATATAATTGATAAATTGTTGATGCTAATTACCTATGTTGATCATAATTAATCTTTGTTTGTTTGGGATTACTATTCATTCAGCTCTTATTTGATTAATAACTCTTATTAATTTTTAGGTTGGCATCTCGCCGCATTTAGGCCTACCGCTCCCTATTTTCAAGAACTACTTAGTAATCTAGTCTAATATGGCACATCTTTTTCAAATTTTCAAGAGGCCTTTCAGAGTCTATAAAAGAGGGAAATCTCAACGTTACATGAGGGACTCCGCGGACCCCCTAGAAAGGAGGTGCGGACTCCCAGGGGTACGCGAAGCACAGTTTAAGAACCACTGATCTAGGTAACAGTTTCATTTTACTTAGGGTTTGCAATCCCTCGTTATATTTTTAATCCCGGAATTTTGGGATTACATATCCAAATTCCGTGATTGGTCGTGGGATTGGGATTGTACTATTTATTTAACCCTTTATTGACCGCATTATAATTTAATGCAATTTTTTTCATGCAATATTTTTTGTTTGGATCACTACATTGAAAATTAAGGGATATACATAAACAAAATACTCAGCTTTGGAAAATTTAATTCATTAGAGATAATTAATTAATTAACATATTCAACTGTAAAATTAATTATATACACTGTTTACTTAAAATAAATAGTCAAATCGTTTTATAAGGTCTTCATTAACATACAAAAAAATAAGATACTTAAATTTTGACATTAATTATTTTTACGGGACAAAAATGATAATCGCACAATCTGCTGAAAACGCAATTACTGCTATGAAACTATTCGCCTTCCCCGCTAAAATACTCATCATAGAAACCATTCTGCATATATCTTGGAAGAGTGGATTTCAAAGAATATTCCTGCTAAGTACCGTCAGAATATTCGTAAAAATGGTTATTTTATGTTATTTTAAAGTGAGTGGTACTGATAAGTACCGTCGGTCGATAAAGGGTTAAAATACTTACACATTAGCATAGTTAAAATTGCATATAAAACAGATAATTAAAAAAAATTGGTTTAATATTAATTTTATTGAAACAAATAAAAAAAATTTACTTCATTACAAAAAAAAAAATAAATAAATAAGTAAAAATAGTACATAGTGAAATTTTTTTAAAAAAAAGAACAATTTTTTGTGTTTCTGTTAATAAGCTTTTAAAAAACACAGCTCATTCAGCGTTTCATCGTTCAAACGGCTACTTATTTTTGTTGCAAATTGTTCTGCCCAAGAAAATTTTCTTTCAGATTATATTCTAGTA